GGCAACACAACAAGACCTCATCTACACACACACACACACACACACACACACACACACACACACACACACACAAAAGCCGGGTGTGGTGCCACACACCTGTGGTCCCAGGTATTCCAAGTCCAGGAAGTGGAGACTGCAGTGAGCCTGATCTTGCCACTGCCCTCTAGCCTGGGCATTGAGTGCATATTTCATTCTGGGCAACAGTGAGACACCGACTCCAAAGATGAAAAGAACTTGGTGGAATTCAGTGATTCCTGGTGCTAGATTTTGACATGCCCACCATGAAACTCCATACGAATGTGAAAGAGTTAATATCACAAATGGCAAATCTTCACGAAAGGCCTTGGAGTTAGTTGTAAAGCCAACTTTACGGAGGTGTAATTTGTATATGGTAAAATGCACCCTTTTTTTTTTTTTTTTTTGAGTTGGAGTCTCACTCTGTCGCCCAGACTGGAGTGCAGCGGCCGCTCCCGGCCACCGCAGCCTCGACCTGCTGGGCTCCAGCGATCCTTCCGAGTAGTCGGAATTACAGGCATGCGCTACCACGCCCGGCTGATTTTTTTATTTACTGTAGAGATGGGGTCTCACTGCCCAGGCGGGTCTCGAACCCGCGGGCTCAGACAATCCACTCACTCAGCCTCCCAAAGGTGCAGGATGACAGGCTGAGCCACCGAGCCTGGCTCCTTTTTTTTAAAGTTGGAGTCTCACTCTGTTGTCCAGGCTGGAGGGCAATGGCACACTCACGGCCACCGCAGCCTCAACCAGCTGTGCTCAGGCGATCCTTCCACCTCAGCCTTCCCAAGTAGCTGGAACTACAGGCATGTGCCACCATGCCCGGCTAATTTTATTTATTTATTTATTGTAGAGATGAGGTCTTGCTGCCCAGGCGGGTCTCGAACCCGCGGGCTCAGACAATCCACTCACTCAGCCTCCCAAAGGTGCAGGATGACAGGCTGAGCCACCGAGCCTGGCTCCTTTTTTTTAAAGTTGGAGTCTCACTCTGTTGTCCAGGCTGGAGGGCAATGGCACACTCACGGCCACCGCAGCCTCAACCAGCTGTGCTCAGGCGATCCTTCCACCTCAGCCTTCCCAAGTAGCTGGAACTACAGGCATGTGCCACCATGCCCGGCTAATTTTATTTATTTATTTATTGTAGAGATGAGGTCTTGCTGCCCAGGCGGGTCTCGAACCCGCGGGCTCAGACAATCCACTCACTCAGCCTCCCAAAGGTGCAGGATGACAGGCTGAGCCACCGAGCCTGGCTCCTTTTTTTTAAAGTTGGAGTCTCACTCTGTTGTCCAGGCTGGAGGGCAATGGCACACTCACGGCCACCGCAGCCTCAACCAGCTGTGCTCAGGCGATCCTTCCACCTCAGCCTTCCCAAGTAGCTGGAACTACAGGCATGTGCCACCATGCCCGGCTAATTTTATTTATTTATTTATTGTAGAGATGAGGTCTTGCTGCCCAGGCGGGTCTCGAACCCGCGGGCTCAGACAATCCACTCACTCAGCCTCCCAAAGGTGCAGGATGACAGGCTGAGCCACCGAGCCTGGCTCCTTTTTTTTAAAGTTGGAGTCTCACTCTGTTGTCCAGGCTGGAGGGCAATGGCACACTCACGGCCACCGCAGCCTCAACCAGCTGTGCTCAGGCGATCCTTCCACCTCAGCCTTCCCAAGTAGCTGGAACTACAGGCATGTGCCACCATGCCCGGCTAATTTTATTTATTTATTTATTGTAGAGATGAGGTCTTGCTGCCCAGGCGGGTCTCGAACCCGCGGGCTCAGACAATCCACTCACTCAGCCTCCCAAAGGTGCAGGATGACAGGCTGAGCCACCGAGCCCGGCTAAAATGCACCCTTTTAAGCATGCGGTTTGATTACTTCTTTTTTTGGAGTCAGAGTCTCACTCTGTTGCCCAGGCTGGAGTGCAGGGGCACACTTACGGCCACTGCAGCCTCGACCAGGTAGGCTCAGGGGATCTTTCTACTTCAGCTTTCCAAGTGGTTGGAACCACAGACATGCACCACCATGCCCAGCTAATTTTTTGATTTATTGTAAAGGCGAAGTCTTGTCAAGTTGCCCAGGCTGGTCTCCAACCCCTGGGCTCAGGCAATCCTCTCGCCTTCGCCTCCCAAAGTGCTGATGACAGGTGTGAGCCGCTGTACCTGGCTGATTGCTTTCAACACATATGTTTACAGCTGTGGAACTGCCACCAGTCATGAGCTACTAGGACATGCCCATCACCTCCAGAATTTTCCTGTGCCCTCTGGCAGTTAGCCCTCCCCATCCCTGTCCCTGGCAGCCACTGTTGCCTTCCGCCACTGGTCTCTTGTCCATCATATAATTTCTTCCACGTGAAGCCATGTGTGCGTGGTCTTTTGCGTCTGACTTGTTTTCTTTGGCAAGTGCTTCTGAGAGTCACCCCTGGTCCTGCATGTGTCAGTGACCTGTTCCTTTTTCATTGCGGAGTGTGTTCTGTTGTGTGGTTTTACCCCAGTTTGTTTATTCCACCATTGGTGGACCTTGGGAGGAGCTCCAGGTTTCCCCTGTTATGAATGAACGGCAGGTGTGAGTGTCCTGGATGCGCATCTTCCCTGGCCCTATGTTTTCAGCTTTCCTGGGTGAAGCTTTGGGAGTGAGGTTGTTGTGTTGCGTGTTCAGTGTGTATTTCACCCTTTGCGGGAGTTTGCATTTCCCGACCAGTGGACAATGCCAAGTGGCTCTTCATGCGTCCCTGGCCACTTGTATGCCTTCTTTGGAGATGTGTCCATTTGACTCTTCTGCTCATTTCTTCTTGGATTTTTGTCTTCCGTTATTGAGTTATAAGGGTTTTTTCTACATATTCTGGACACAAGTCCTTTATCAGATATGTATTTTGCAAGCTTTTTCTCCTATTCTGTGGAATAAGAAAAGGCTTTCTCGTTTTCTGTTTCTTTTGTGTGTGTGTCAGGGTCTCACCCTGTCACCCAGCCGGAATGCTGCGGCATGGTCATGGCATGTTGTAGCACTGCCTGCTTGGTTCAGGTGGTCCTTCCACCTCAGTCCCCTGCGGAGCTGGGACTACAGGCATGTGCCACCATGCCTGGCCGACTTTTTTGTTTTTGCTTTTGAGGAGACGGAGTCTTGCTGTGTTTTCCAGGCTGGCACCAAACCTCTGGACTCAAGCAGTCCTCCCGCCTTGGCCTCCCAAAGTGCCGGAATGACAGGCATGAGCCCCCAGGCCCAGCCTATAGTAAGCCTTGAAATCCGTTGGTGTAAGTGCTCTAACGTCATTTTTCTTTTTCAAAGTTGTTTTACCTTTTTTAGATCTTCTGCATTTCCATATAAATTTTAGACTCTGTTTGTCAATTCCAACCAAAAAAGCCTGCTGGGATTGTGTTTAATCTCTAGATTGATTTGGGTGGAAACTGACATTTTAATAATATTGAGAATTGAAGAGATACAACCGGGCTTTGACTTTGGTTATTTATTATATTTTACCAGTATCCATGAAGCCATTTTTATTTAGTTATTTGTTTACTCTGTTTTCTTATTAATGTTCTTTGGGAAATGCCCTGAAGAATTTGTGAGGTGGAATTTTGGGTCTTTCTAACTTTCCCTTATGTGAGCAAATGCCAGACAGGCTATGACCAACTCTTCGGTTTGGGTTCTTTTTTTGTTTTGTTTTTTGGCGAGCAAAAGGAAGAAGGGGGAAAGTAACTTTTTAGTGGCCTCAGAAGATTGAGATAACTGTTAGACCCTGTGATGTCACCACGCACGGTGGCACCACTTGCATCATTCTGAACCCGGGCCTCACTGCCATCATGTCGATTAATTTATTCACCTCCTGGTCTGGTGCTTCTCAAGCTCTGCCTCCTGGACCGTCAGCATTAACTGGATACTCATTAGAAATGCAGGTTCTCCACCCCACCCCAGGCCCGCTAGGCCACACATCCTGGGAGGGCCCAGCAGTCTGTCTCCAGGTCCTTCGTCTGACTCGGGTAGGTGCTGGCGTTTGGGAACCTCCATCACAGATTTTCCAAGAGAGAGAGAACTGCCCTCTGTTTTCAGAACAACTGGGGAGACTCACGTGAGCGCCTTCTCCAGTCTCCAGCTGTATCAAAGGAAAGATCCAGTGGTGAGACCATCACCCCAATTGACACGAGGGTACGGTCTGCAGGACATGGGAGCAGGGCTGTGGGAAAGAGAAGGCCCAGGTGGCTCCTCTTCGGGGTCTCTGGTTCAGTGGGCCAGCATTCTGCATGGTCTTGTGCCACACACCTGCGCATCTGTCCGTGGGTCGGCTTTGAGGTCTTGTTTAAACGCACCATCAGCCGGAAGGACTGCTCGCTGTTGGGGTTCACTCATGGTGGTGTTAGTGGTCGTGGAAAAGGAAGCTACTGGCGGGAAGAGAGGAGAAGAGCCTAACCCTGATATCTCAGAAAATGAATCCTGGGTTTATGGGAAAGATGAGAATCTGAAGAAATCATTTTCCCTTGACCCGTCTTATAAAAACCAGATGTTTTGAGCATTATAAGTGAGAGCCAGTAGGACGTGGTGGCTCACGCCTGTCATCCCAGCACTTTGGGAGGCCAAGGCAAGAGGGTTGCCTGAGCCCAGGGGTTTGCAAGACCAGCTTGGGCAACACAGTGAGACCTCATCTCTACAATAAATCAAGAAAAATTAGCCAGGTATGGTGGTGCATGCTCATAGTTTCAGCAGCTTGGAAGGCTGAGGCAGAAGGATTGCCTGAGCCCAGCAGGTTGAGGCTGCGGTGGCCATGAGCATGTCACTGCACTCCAGCCTGGGCAACAGAGTGAGACTCTGACTCAAAATAAAAAAGTGAGATCTGTTTTTAGCGTTCTAGGTTAAAAGAAGAAAGTGAGTGTGAAAAGGTGAAACAGGTAAAATTCCATTGCTTGGGAAAACGCGGGACATTAGGTGCCAGAGCGCTGCCTTCTCGTGTTAGTGGAAAGCCCAGTCCAGAGAAGCAAATCTCTTACACACCGGGTTTTGTTGCAGCCAGTCCTGCTCGGTTTGTGACAGTGGAAGAGCTCCTGGAGACGGCCAGGGGGGTCACCAACATGGCCCTCGCTCATGAGATTGTAGTAAACGGAGACTTCCGGATTCAGCCAGCCGAGCTGCCGGAGGACAGGTAAGGTGGTTGCTAAGCATCCTCTCTGGTGGGCCGCTGCTACCGCCCGGTCGCGAACGTGCCTTCAGGTGATGCCATGTGTCCGAGTGTACGTGTCCTTTTCCACATTCTTGCTAAAAGTCATCCCACCATTAGGAGTTGCCAGAGCGTGCAGGTGGACCTCAGGAACATGGAGACTTCACGGTGCAAGCAGGGGCCTGGGACTCTCCCGGGACGGTCTCCTGTCAGTGTCCCCTCCACGGGACGCGGCGGCCTCGATCTGCGTGTTTGCTGCCCGGCCTCAGTCACTCTCTTCCAGGTTGTGTTCTGGTTGCTGGCTCACGGCACTTGTGATCCGGCCGAGGTCACCAGACTGTAAACTGCCACCACAGCTAGGACTGCGGGTTCCTCTCTGTGTCCCGGTGCCTGGCACGTGCTTTCATGCATGCATGTAAAACTGCTGATTGCAAGGTGCACCTTTTAGAAGAGACATTGACCATTACATTGTAAAAATGCTGCTGATTTCACACAAGATCCAAGTTTCAGAGAGATTGAAATGTAGGGGAAAGAAGTTTGCTTTGGAATCAAGGAAGCCCAGGTGCAGGTATGCAGGTGTGCAGCCTGGACGGGCGTGGTGCCCTGGCAGGTCCTCGAGTTGTGGGAGGGATGCTGTTGCTCCAGGCATACCGGCGCACACCCACGTGACAGGTGGGAGGGCAAGCCGGTGTGCTGTCCCTTTGTTAGGGAGGGGCATCTTTCCCTGGAGTCACCGGGCAGACATGCCCTGGCATTTTGTTGGATTCGACCACTGGCCACGCCAGCTGTACGTGAACCTGGAGGGCGTGAATCCTGCAGAGAGAGGGACCTGCCGTGCTCGGCCACGATTTGCTTCGGCAGGCAGCGTGGGTTGCTGCCCGTAATGCTGGGCTTCTGACGGGGAGGAGAAGCAAGCACAGGGTTGGCAGCCACAGTGTCTCCGGTAGGCAGCTTCGAACGTGACTTGACAGATATTTCTTCTTCCTTTTTTTTGAGTGAGGGTCTTGCTCTGTTGTCCAGGCTAGATGCAGTGGCATGATCATGGCGCACCGCAGCCTTGACCTCCTGGGCTCAGCTGACCCTTCTGCCTCAGCCTCCTGTGTAGATGGGACTAAATCACATACTACCACACCTGGCTCATTTAAAAAATTTGTACATCTGGGCTTGGTGGCTCAGCCTGTAATCCCGTGCCTTGGGAGGCTGAGGTGAGTGGATTGCCTGAGCCCGTGGGTTCGAGACCTGACTGGGAAACTTGGCGAGACCTCATCTCTACAATAAATCAAAAAATCAGCTGGGCGTGGTAGCGCGTGCCTGCAGTTCCAGCTACTCGGAAGGCGGAGGAGGAAGGAGCGCCGGAGCCCAGTAGGTTGAGGCTGCGGTAGCCGGGAGCGGTCACTGCACTCCAGTCTGGGCGACTGAGGGAGACTCCAACTCAACAACAGCAACAACAAAAAATTTTTTTGTAGAGATGAAGTCTCGCTGTGTTGCCCAGGCTGGTCTCGATCTCCTGGCCTCAAGTGATCCTCCCGCCTTGGCCTCTCAAGGCTCTAGGTTTACAGATACGAGCCATTGAGCCCAGACAGCTGTTCTTTTCTTTTTTTTTTTTTTGAGTCTCACTCTGTTGCCCAGGTTGGAGTACAGTGGCACGCTCATGGCCACCCCAACCTTGACCGGCTGGGCTCAGGCGATCCTCCCGCCTCAGCCTTCCAGGTTGCTGGAACCGCAGGCATATGCCACCATGCCCAGCTAATGTCTGGATTCATTGTAGAGATGAGGTCTGGCCAAGTTGCCCGGGCTGGTCTCGAGCCCCTGGGCTCAGGCAGCCCTTTGGCCTCCATCTCCCAAGGTGCTGGGACTACTGGCCTGAGCCACTGTGCCTGGCAAATAACGAATAACTATTTGTTTTGCCCTCATGACATAACGCTAATTTTTTTATGACACTGATTTTAATGAAACGTTGTATATAAGTTGTTACAGTTTGGTGCCTAGTTAGGCAGTTGTCCCACACGTCAGATGGGGATAGGATATTTTTAGGAAATAAAGTTCTTCATCCTGTTTCATGCCGAATTGCTATCTTAAACGACTATATTACAAATGTCTTAGGAAACTTGCTAGTGTCAGGAAACTAAACATTAACAGGTCTGAACTTTTCAGTATTCTTTTTGAGTATATGCTATTAATTGGACTGAATGTTAGCTTAGTTGACAGTTATTCTTCCCAATGAGATACTTATTGAAAAAAAATCAATTAAAAAACACAGTCATTGATTTAAGTACGTCTGGAAAATCTTTCCTTGATCCAAATTATTTTTAAGATTCCTGACCCTAAATCCTTAGAATTTGTGTTTTCGGAAGTGATTTGACCCTCAGATGTTTTGTGTTTGCCTTTTTTTCATTGCCTCCAGCTTGGAGAAGAGAGTGAAGGAGATTGTCCACCAAGCCTTCTGGGACTGCTTGAGCGTCCAGCTGAGTGAAGACCCCCCGACATACGACCATGCTATCAAACTCGTGGGAGAGATCAAGGAGGTGAGACGGAGCGGGCGCCATGTGCTTTTCTGGTGTGTGAGGAGTGTGTATCCACCTCCTCGTGTCACTAACCTGAAGGCGTGAAGAAAAGCAAGGATCGAGAAGTTAAGGTACTTGCCGAAACGTGGATCCAGAGTGTTTTTGGCTTAATGCCCTTTCAAAACAACGACGACAACAACAAACTTTCAAGCAGGCCACAATAACTTGAAAGCAGTGAAGACAACAATGGTTAATTGGTAAAATCTAGGTTATTTAGAAATGCTGATAGGTATTGGCATGTGACATTTATAATGGCCAGAAAACGATCCAGCCTTTGGGATGGAGACAGCTGTAGGTGGACGGATGTTTGGCATTGCCTTAGCAACCATGTCCAAGAAGAAACGGACCTGGAAATGGGCCCTGCGGTTGGCTCTTCAGGCCACGTTAACAAATGTGGTTTCCTTTTCTCACAGTTTTTCTTATATCTGTTTGATTGCTACCTGGAGCTTGAATGAAAGCTAGAATGGCTGTTCCGTGTTATTTGTGAACATGTCTTTCTGCAGATTTGTTGACTAAGAGGTTAGATCATTCCCACATGACAGTGGCAGTTGATAAACCCTCGTTTGGATAATTATAAATTCTAGAAATGCTGTCTGGCTGACACTTTGATTAGATTTGGCTATGTTCTCTTGCAGACACTCTTGTCTTTCTTGCTGCCTGGCCACACCAGACTGAGAGACCAGATCACAGAAGTCTTGGATCTGGAGCTGGTGAAGCAGGAAGCCGAGAACGGGGCCCTGGACATTTCCAAGCTGGCAGAGTTCACCATCGGCATGATGGGAACGCTATGTGCCCCTGCCCGCGACGAGGCGGTCAAGAAGCTGAAGGGCATCAAGGAAATAGTGCCCCTCTTCAGGTAGGCAGTGCGGGCATCACGCCAATCCGGTGCGCCCGATTCAGAGTTGCTTTGGATTTAAACTGTCTGAGTCTGGGTACTCATGTGTTCAAGCTTGTTTTGGGAGCAAACATTGTGTAAAATGCAGAAAAGGAAGAAGGAGGAAATGCACCTGTAATCTTACCACTCAGAGGCACAAATCACTGTTATCATTTTGATATATATATATATTTTTTTCACAATTGAAAGGATATGATTTTCATATGTATTAAAACACATTCCTCAGATTAGTAAGAAGAGCACACATTACCCGAAAGTTCCATGGACAAAATATATGACGAAGCATTTGACAGAATGGGGAAAAGATGATGAAGTAATGCGATTCATAAAAATTAAATCAATATAACAAATCAGGCCAGGCGTGGTACCTCATGTCTGTCATCTCAGCACTGTGGGAGGCTGAGGCAGAAGGATCTCTTGAGCCCAGGAGCTCGAGACCAGCTTGAGCAATGTAGGAAGACTTCATCTCTCCATTGTGGAATAGTGACTTGATTTCCCCTTGGTAGTCAGGGTCAATGTGCCCAGCCAGCACAGTGACTCCTTCTTTGCCTGTTAATTCAGAAGCAAGAGATGCCCAGAGTTGTTTGGTGGCAGTCTGAAAGTCCTGTTTGTTGAGATTATTGTTGTGTCTCCTGGTGGAGGCTTTTCCTCCTTTGGAACCACTCCCTGTAGGCAAACAGAATGCCAGGTTGCCAAAAGAGGAAGCAAACATTTTGCTTGTGGGTTCCTCACTGGGTATAGTAGTGAGCAATTTATATATATATATATATATATATTTTTTTTTT